ATAAATATTACTTACAGATACCCATTCAAAATGCAGCTACCACAAAACATGAAAACACATAGCAAAATATATTAATACGCATGAAAATCGAAGATAACTCTAGACTCAGGTTTTAGCTATCCCATATAGCCTGAACTAATTACATTTTGCAACAAATTTGAATTAAATTCTTGTATGCAGAATAAAGTAAACCAAAGCAGAAACATAAGAAGAAACATGCATGGTACTTTCTCATACACCATGCCTGATTAAGACATAATCTGATTAGCATACATATGCCTGGTACTTTTTCATATACCATGATGACTTTGCAACTACCTAATTCTGAGATAACTAAACAACTTGAACTTTATACTTACTGAACAAGAAGAAACCCTCCATGCTAACCAATGAAAAAAATAGCTGCGATCTATAGCAAATTTCTAAACCGGATGTAGGTCTTAAAAACTTATCTTCTCCCATCAACTCCAACTGATTTACCAAATGTTAAACCACTAATCCCTTGCTCATCAATGTGTACCAATTAATAGGAAAAATAATGTCTTGGTCGTGTACTCGGAAAATAAAGTTAATAGGAACAAAGCAAAAGCGTAATTATTTGGTACTGAATGCAGGTCATTACCTTGCCATCAGCTCCTGGTGATGCAGAGAATGTAGCTTGCGGTTTCTTCAAATCATCATCAGATGAACATTCTGAGCATACAAAATGTTCTAGTTTCTTTGCTTCTTCAATAGTCATGCCCATGCACGCAGGATGGTACCTACAAGAAATCTACAAAGATTGAAACATGTGTTTCATAAAGCATAGAGGGATCTCAAAAGATATAAGACCATAATAGTATGTTTAATTTGATACTCCTTAAATTTAATACTATTTTTTAGTCGAAGTTTATATGCACTAAAATTTGCACCCCCAGTCTTATATTAACAAACATATCAAAGCAAGATTTTCACGGCTACTATCAAGCCAGATCAACAAGTGGAACAAGTCTCTGCATCATTCAATTTACATTGACAAAAAAATCAGGAGTTACAATCCGAGATAAAATTCATCTGTTATTGAGTTCAGCATGAGTAGTTCAATTGTAAATGGACAGTTATTTGTATTTTCTCTATTTCCTTCATTTCGGTTGTTTTCAATTCTTCTCTACATTTGCTGTACAAGATGAATGCTTTCTCAAGACAGAGTTGCCATAAAACAAACTTAAAGACTGTGTATTAAGAATGTTGGACTATGAGAAACACTATCCCAAGTCTTTTAAATGTATCTTGTCCAATTCTCATTTCAGGAAAACATCTACCTTTAACTTCTTAACACTTTTCTTATACAATGACATCAACAGTTCAACCAGGCAAATAACATATGTAATGCTCATACTAGATATATAAACACCTCAAAGAATTCATATGTAGAATGAAATAAAATTAAATCAGAATTCAATGGTTTTTACCAATCCTTGCACCCCTCACATTGTACCATGAGATCATCCGGGTTATAAGGCATCTCACATTTGCAATACCTTCAAAACACGAACCAAATAAAATACATCATTAGTTCTAGAATTCAAAAACACCATTACCATCATACATAAGACCCCAATTCAGTCCTCGGAAAATTAAGGTGTTTCCCGATGACGCCCTTAAATTAAAAGTTTTGACAATAACAATGTCCTTAGAAAGACTAATGTGATGACATTTTACATCTTTCAAAGACATGATTAGTGATGGAAAACATTTAAGGATCTATTTGACGAAACCATAATCTTTCAAGAACCGAATTGAGGGTTTACTCAATAACAAAAAACAAAAAGAGAAACTAACACAGCAACACGGTCAGGAGTGAAAGCCCCAGTTGCAGCCTTATACTCAAATCTACAATAGTAATCCTCAGCAGCTACATTCTCAAGCTTAGTGTAGTTCTTGAAAGAGTGAACAATACACTTTCCTTCAATAGTGTGAGCACTCTGAACATCATAATGGTCAGATAAAAAAAGCTCTTTTGCTCCATGGAACTGTCTTCTACCCCCTATTGACTCTTCAGGTCTATAGTACCATCTCACGCGCACCTTAATGTTGCTCCTGTTGTCTTCATCGATCTTCTCCACGCGCGCCACATACGGTGGCTTTGTTGTGTCCAAAGGCCGCATCAAAACACAATCTCCAGCTACCATACACAAAAAAAAACAAAAGTAAATAAAACACAACTCCATAGTGCTGATCGAAAAAAACTAAGACTCCATGAAAACAAGAAAAGGAACTAATTTTAACGCGAAAGACGCAAATGGGTATGAGAAACTAAGAAGGGCTTTTTCTGGGTATTGTTGTTAAGAGAGATTTTTCATTTCACCTCTTACAGTCTTGTTGGTGCCTTTGATGGTGTAGGAATCCACGTCCTTTCTACCTGGCCTTGTTTTCGCCATATGATAGAGAAAAAAACGGTTGATGTTGAAAATGTGAAAGTTTTGGTAAGAAGAACAGAGGAACCCTAAGCCTAAGGAACTGGGACTGTGATAGTGACGCTTCGTCTGCTGAGTTTTTTTATCAGTGATTTTTTGATGCAATGCGGTTCTTTGTTCATTCATTACTTTTCTGTAATTTACTTAGTCCCAAGAATGTGCTAAGCACTTTGCTAATATGGTTGTTAATGTGATGATTATATCAATACTTATTTGTCCTATAGCAGTAGTTTCCTTCCTATTAAAGAAGGGCAAGTGAAAAATAGTCACATCTTTTATTAGCATAATAGTATGGATAATAAAACTATGACTAGTAATTTTTCTTTAATTAGTACTGGTAAAGATGTAGATGAGAGAATGAAAATTAGCTAAAGGTTTTATTATACAGGTTACATTGCGTCATGTGGTTAAAAAATTATTATAAAGGTTTTATTGTTTTTTTCCAAATATTGTTTCAATAAATTGAATGTTTGGTTGATGATATATATAGGCACATGCGCAAATCTTTTTCATGTCCACAAGGTTTTAGTATATGAAACGATAACTCCTAAATAACTTACTCTCGTGCTTTTCACTAATCTTTACACAAAGTCTTGTCTTTACTTTGTCGTTGGTATCACCATAGTAATAACGTAGTTGGTGTTACTTTGGGTAAATAGGATAAGCCTAACCAGAGCGTTTAGAATAGGACTTGTGGAATTGCATAGAGGATGTATAATGGTGTTTGAAACATGTGGCTTTGTAAGGTGAACTTTGACTAAGAGAAGCACCAAAATCAAAAGCATGAGATTTATAGTGATGTATGTATATATATATATATCATCAACGATTGAAAGACAAGGACAAATTATATCGGTCAAAGTCATGAACAAAGCATGGGAATGACATGCAAGCTTATCAGCTCACAATTGTGCAACGATTAAGGGAATTTTGAGTCCAAACCTATTCATCTATGGAACTTACATTACTCAAAAATAGTAAGCCATGACCAACACAACCACCACGACCATATCGAAACTCAAAGTGAGAAAACTGATGTGGTAGTGCGTTTTCAATTTTGTTCTTTTTCCTCAATTTTGTATCTCACAATTAAGCAAAACAGAGCATGAAAATCTTTCAATTTAACACAAAGGCTTCTGCCCACGCCCACATTTGTTTTACAGTGTCGGTACTAATCATATTGTAGATGTTTTTCACTTGAACATAATTGTGCTTTGTGGAGGATACCCATATTCTAGTGACCAAAGAAGATATGCCTTTAACATGAGTTGTATTTTTAATTTTGAAAATATTAAGTATACCACTTTTAACCAAGACTTTTTTTACTCTCCTTTTTTGTGATTAAAGATTTTTTTACTTTATCAGTGAGAACCAATAAATGGTCAAAATAATTATTGGAAAACTAAGGAATTGAATCCTTAGTGCTACCTAATTTTATATTGTGGAATGTGTAATCCTACGGTATGAGTTAATTGGTACGTTTGGATTTGTCATAATTTGTAGAGGTAACTTGGTTCTACTACTCTAGTCTTTAGAGTTTATTTTCTTAACTTTGAATTCCCATTTTACTTGCCATCATTGCATACTGAACTCTGGAGTTTCACAACATTTTTACAAGCCATGTAGTTGAGGTTCGATGAAAGAGAGAATTGAAAGAGTTGCAGAGAAACTTTGAATTGATGAGAAACTGATCTGGTTACATTATATTACTAGCCTTTATGCTATATAACTAAATAACCAACTCTACAGACTCATAAAGGTCTAAACCAGTGCATTGACAACTTCTAGAATGTATAACAATCATGTGATAAACTCAAACCTATCACCTAACATCCACAGATATAAAATAAGAAAGAATCTGAAAATTAAACTAACGAACATTCAAAAATCTAAACATGATTATAGAGGAAATGACCATGCTCCATCTCTCCCAGATTTAGAAACCATGTTTTCTGGACTTACTTTTCAAGCAGAAGAAAATGATTCTTAATTTCATGCCAGATCATCACTAGCAAACTGATAAACTCGAAGTGTATTGCTGTTCAGTTTTGCCTTCAAATGGTGAGAAACATAATATCATGGACAATGGGAAGATTTTTAAACTAATTCAGAACCTGATATGTATCTCAAGCCGCTTGTTAACATGTTTTAAATAATTAAATAAGTAATTATGATGAAAAATAGTCACAAATCTGTATTAGGGTCCAGTCACTGGTTTTGGTAAAACATACAGCAGGAACTGTTAAACTAGTCAATACTACCAAGTTTGAGAGTGAGATATATAACATGAGTTGTCATTCTTCAACAGCTCAAAAACAAACAACAAATTTTCAAAGAGAAACAGTTTTGGTAACTCGGTCATGGATAACAGAAGCACAAAAGTATAATTTGGTTTAACACAAGCAATTATAAGAACAATGAGAAATTTCCTTGAATAGAAAACTCAACTTACGACATAACATTATGAAACTTATTTGTAACATGAAAAAAGATAAAAGGCAACTTTCAAAATGCTATACTCAAAGCTTATCAAAATTGGGCACATAATCAGTTAGTTCCTCTTGTCAAGCTAGATTCTACTTGTGCTATAGTCGAGGAAAGCTCGTGCCTTATTTGTGTTAAGCTGTCGAGTTAACTAGACTCGAGGAACTAATCCTTTAGGCAACTCCTCCTCAAATTAGGTAGAACCGTGATCCCCCGAAAAAGGGAAGGAAGATGCTCCAATAGGTAGGAGCTACTTAACTTTCTTCGGCGCTCCCCTTTTAAAGGCGGTCCTTTTCTTTCCCCCGACCGATGACTCGCTTGTTCAGTACTGCTAACTATTATCGTATAGGAGGATGTCGTCCCCTCGGGACTACCAGTAGTTTCGGTTGTTGAATCTCGTGCAAGTTAGGTTGTGCTTGTATTGGCCGCAAGCGGAATGTAGGCGCTTTAGGTAGGTGTGTGTTGACCATGCACTCTCGCGTCATGTAATGTTGTATGTATGATAGAGGTGGTGTGGTGATTGACCTCAATGCTAATGGTTATCCCCAAGGTTCAATGAACGAATGAAGCTATGATCGTACCCGGATAGAAATGACGGTCTTCCTCTGATGTCTCCAAGTCGGCCATAATAGAATAGATAGGCAAAGCAACCAATAACAGTTTTAGCCTATCGATACATAGTATGTTGCTTCCAAGCTCAAACCATTTGAAACTGAATTGCTATTGTCTTATTTTTATTGATAGAGTGGTCTTCTCTGCCCCTGTCAAATAAAGTAGAGGGAGAGAACTGGAAGAGAGAAGGAAAAAGAGCAAAGGATTTACAAGTCTAATGGGAGAGGAATGCCTTACTTATCGTGCACGTTGACTGCGTTTGAGAAAAATAGAACCCAAGCAGTCTAAGCCCCGGGACGAACCCCAACCGAAAGAAAGGCTATCGCCTTTGCTTCTATCAGGCTAACGGCAAGCGAGATAAAGAAAGTAATTGGCCCTATGTGTCAAACCTTGTTGCGGGAGAGTCTTTCTCCCATGAGAATCAGCAAGTTTTTGGGCAAGACAAGAAAGGAACTCGCCCTTTGACACCACACAAGGGATAAGAGCTGATTGTTGGCGTTGACTTGGTGAAAGGAATCTATGAGAGAAGGTTCTCAAACCAGGTTAGACTTGGAAATCGAAATAGTAAGAGCGCGGAGCCAACGAGTTCAGTCGAACAACGTAATGAGTCTAAGGCTATAGTGTTTGCCTACTTTGATAGGTAAACACATTGCAAACAAATAGAGCAGAGAGCTTACCATCTTTTTCTATTAGAGTCGCGAGCTTGGCTTGTTGTAGTCAGTCCGTGATGAGAGAACTTGTAGTACAGACAGTTGTTGTAGATAAAGCTGGTAATAACAGAAAGCTTTGCACAAATACTTGATATCTAACCATTTAGGCCAGTAAAAGCTAAACGACAAAAAATAATTAGCATGACAAATCAAAGGCAGATAAATTAGTCTATCGGGAAAATAACACTGTAATGTGGTAGTATAGGAGCTTAGCTTTCAGCATCTTCAAAATTTTGTAAAAGTTAACACAATATATATGTAGAAATAATAAACAAATCTGTTATGAATTCCACCAAATGACAAAAAATTAAGTAGCAGGAATTGTTGCAGCAGTCGGTGGAAGGGCATAGTCCTTAATGGAGCAGAGTCATCCCGAGACATTGGTGTGAATTGCGACATTTAAATTTCCAGGAGTCTTACTTGATTTTGGCATTATAGCATACTGCTTATTTTGAAACCAATTCCAAATCTATACTGGAGTTATGAAGAAGAGACTGAGACAATGGAGGGTGAAAGGTTCCTTATCACAAAAAATATAGTTCACTCTTTAGGGATGAAGTTGGACACCCGAATGGCCAAATCCATTTCCATCCCTTGATCATGCCTACCAGTTGATTCGACCCTCATTGACTCTCTGACTTCTTATATTGAGTAACTGCCAAATATAATTACAAGCCAAAGTACCAAACTACAAAATAACATATATTTAGTGATCACGGAAAATATATCAAGAACACAAACCACACAAACCGTTGTTTTTCTAAGAGATATATAACAACAAAAAATAGTGATCACAGTGCCTCTCAATTATCTCAATGAACACATCATCCAAAATAATTTTATAGCTATAAGAAACTTGGTTCTGGATCTCCACCCATTACAATGCTTGTAAGTAAACTGCAATATGAGATCAACAACAATTGCAACTACTCTAATCAACATAACTCGTAACCTAACCTAACGGTGAATGTTTAGCATGTCCTTGGCCTCACTCTGTTCCTCCAAGAGACCCTCACTAACATATCTATTCAACAACTCCATTTTCTTCTTCTCCAGCACCATCCTCTCTATTTCCTTCTCATCCGGCAACGGAACATGCACAACAAACTCCCTCTCCTTATCCTCCATACCCTCCCTCATCTCCCTCTCCCTCCTTCTCTCTTCCTCCACCACATCCTCCTCTTCTTCATGCAACAATTCCCTCGCCGCAGAAGTCGTTGCAACCTCTCCACTCTTCACACTTTTCCTAGCCTCCTTCCTCACCTCCTCCAACCTTTTCCACTCCTCAAACGCCTCACGCCTCATCTTCTCCTCCGCAGGACCCTCGAGCTTTTCAAGCACACCATCCTCCTCATCCCTGTAACCATAATAACTCGCATCAATCCGTTTATAAATGTCATACCTCGTCCGCCGCTTGCGAAGCTCCGGAGGCTTATCGAATAGCTCGCGAACGCCAGGGAGTTTCTTTGCCGCGCCAAAGTAACGGTAACCAGGACCACGACCGCTAGGGTTTGGGACATCAACGATGTTGCCGTCAAGATCGGTCATCTTGGCGGAATGTTTGGTGTAATTAGGGCCGCCGAGTTCAACAATACGGCGCTCCCAGTGCGATTTCTCGCGGATAAGTTTGTTTATCTCGTCGTTAAGGTCGCGAAGACGGTGCTCGCCGAGACCTTCGTTTTGGATCTCGGCGACTTTACGGCCAATCTCGCGCATAATCTGCTGACGCCACTTATCGGCTTCGGAGAGGTCGCGGCATTCTGAAGCGAGGAAGGGGCGGCGCTCCTTGGGCTTCTTCTTCTCCTCTGCTTTCATGGTGATGAAACGGTTAAGCATGGACTGCGCTTTCTCTTCGTTACGAGCCATCTTCTTCGATAAATTCTTCTCCCTCTGATTCTGATTCTTATTCAGAAACTTCTTTCTTCTCTTCTCACTTCTCGCACCAAATCACTTTTCCCTCCAGGGTTTTCGATTTGTTACTGCTCTATGTTATGTGCGCTATAGCATCCCGATCAAATAAACCCGATTTTCTCGTTTCCTTCATAAAGGTGGCTGGACCGGTCCGGTTTTTATTGGGCTTAACTATATTTATGTTTATTCATAATCCACTATTTTTTCAAAAATATAAAAATGATAATTTTAGTTTTTTTCCCTGCTATGAATCTCAGAGGGTGGGATATGAATCTCCGATAGGAATACAATATCAACTCTTATTCTTCATTTATTAAAATCATAACATGTTATATTTAATCATTTTCTATAAAAATATAATACTTCTAAAACTCTATCTAGTGTTCTCACGTCAGTCTTAACTCTATCTAGTATTCTTATGCTAGTCTTAACTTTATTGTACATATCTTTAATTGCTTAAATATAAGCAATATGAACACATTTCTTATCTAGAACATAACTTAAGGAAAATATTTTCTTACTTAATTGGCCTAGTTTTGGTGCTAAGAAAAATAGACATTCCCCAAATTAGAATCACCAAATCCTAAATTAGATAACAAAAAATGTCAAGTACATTGGTAAGTTGTACTCCCAAGATCTACTTGTGTGATGCCTTTTTAAGGGAAATGAATGAAAATGGAAGACATTCGAGTCATCTCAAATATGTGTTTCATCGCTTTGAAACTTTTCATTCTCATCATTCTCTTCCAAAACTCAATTACTAAACAGACTCTTAAGGAAACTATAACTCTTAAGGAAACTATCAAAACTAAGCTCTAAGATAATTGTTGTGAGGATCTTCTGCAAAAATATATCACCTAAAATTATCCTAAAGTTTTGTTTGCGATTTGGTTACAGATGAGAGGGAAATACATATGATGATATGAGTCACGGAATACACTTGTAAGGTGACTCAAAAACCTTTCATTTCCCTTTCTTCCACTCCGAAACTCAACTCGCAAACGAACCCTAACTGGTATACTTGGTAGTATTCCGGGTTCAAGTGCATTCAAAGCTTCAAAGCAAACAACAACATCAATCCAAAAGTTTTAAAAATATCACACAGAACTAAGTCTGTACAGTTTGAAAGCTGCAAGATTCTGGTGCCAACAAATAAATGAGTTGGACAATGAGACTAAGTCTATATGTGCAAGTTCATAAACATAAAATAGAAAATCCAACAAAAGCACTGATGGGAAGAATAAGAGATGTATAAAGTTGAATCAAATTTTATACACCATTCACTCCACGATCAATCCTTCTGATTTGCATATAGGGCAGACATTTTTCACAAGCAACCATTTCCTTAAACAATCTGCGTGACACTCGTGCCCGCATTGTAGAATTCCGATCTTCTCTTGCCTTTCATATTCATTCTGTAAAATCACATACAGATTTTCTAATTAATATGGAAAATGGATTAACATTTAACAGTTAGTTTAGTGCATTAAGGGGCAGTTGGTTTAAACTTAATAAGTGATTTTCAGATTGTGTAATAAAGTTGATTCCACTTTTTATAGATTTTGGTGTCAAGCATAAGTTATTTGTGTTTAGTTAAAATCATGTTAAGAAGAAGCTACAACAAAATAAGTGATTTTGTTGAGGAAAAAAGTCCCAAACTAACACACGCAAAGGTGTAGTAGAACTATCCCATAAAGTGTAGCATGTGAAATATCAATACACAAAGTAACTTAAATATCATATGGAACATGCTAAAAGTTCATACCATGCATATTATGCAAGAATCAGTTTCCTGTTCCTCAGAAGCCACTTCCTCCAAATTAATAGCAGTAGCAGGTACTGAATAAGTTTTTGTCTTCATTTGAGTTGTAATCATTTCATCAGATAAACCTGTGCTTACATTTCCAATCCGCTCACTCAATGCAAGAAGTTCCTGTGGTCAAATTCCAAAGAATAAATAATTGAAATTTTTTCCATAAGCACTAAATTTCTTTAATCGAAGACTTCATATCTGTCCACAATACATTAATAAAAATATAAAATATCCAACTTTGTCAACTTGCCTCATAAGACATTTCATCAATGTCCAAACGCATATCTCTATGTTGGTCTACAAGCAAGGCAACATCCTACATAAATAAGCATTAAATGT